TTCCATTTTTTCAAATCTTGCTAATATGTAGTTACTTTCTGGTTGAAACATATTATGGCATTTTCAACTATTTAGGCTTAGGGTGTATCAGGTTTGACTACAAAAATTTACACCTGAAAATATGGCCCATTTTGAACAAACTCAACCACAACATGACATATTTTCATAATCAGGATTTGGCAAGTAGCTGACTAATAAATATTATTTAATTTTTTTCTTGAATGTTTAGTGCAATTCACTTCACAACCTAATAAAATCGGCACATTTTTTCTTTTTACTACAAAAGTGTTAAAAATGCAAATTATTATTTACCTACATTATTTAAAACCGAATAATAAACTGAAATGACAGGCCAAAATATACTGTATTCCTTTTACCCGTTGAGTTACTCGGAGCTGCTCAATATCAAAAGCTTGAACGTTCCTTTTAAAAGTGCGTTAAGCACTCGAGTCGCTTATAGTGCATCCCGCTTTTCCCTTATGCACCAAATTTGCGGAGGGTGCAAGGCGCCCTTTTAGGTAATGACGGTAATGTTAATATTAAAAAATAATGATAAAATCTGAATTGTGTGTTTTGGAGTGACTCCGAGGAGCTCGTTCGGTGTAACTCGATGCATAAAAGAAATACAGTAATATAAACTCCTTGCAAAAAAAAACCTTTTTTTGTAATTCGCCCATAGTTTCTTTACATTAAATTTTATCTCAGGTGCCCCGGAGAATAAATATCTGTATATACAATGTTGTCACATTCCTAACATTTTTCTAAACCTAAATTCTGCGATAACCGCAAAAATACTAAGAATTGACCTATGGTTAATCGGATAGTTTTAGCTTGAAACGAACCATTTTATCCCATTTTAAAATATTTGTACTCAAACCTTGATACACCCTGTATACATAAACTGCTCGCCGCAATTTTTAGCACCATATTCAATTTGTAATAACTTTTTTCAAATAATTTTTTTTTGAATGAGGTTTCTGGTATTCGAAAGCCCATGTTGTATAGCTCGTGGATTTTTTTTTTGTTGAAGGAATGCATTTCTCAATAAGTAATATACAGAGTGAAAGGTCTATGGAGTGAATAATAAACTGGATGCAAAAGTACAAAGTTGGATGTCTGCCATATTGGCAATATTTTTTTTTTTTCGGATTTCCATATAGGCGATTAGTAAGTTAATATCAATATCTTCAGACGTATTTCCCAGTTTTTTGATAAGTGCCCTTTGGCAGCAGATACAATACTAAACAACGAAGCTAGTAAAATCTTGTAAGCATGAAAGCATGCACAATGTTTAAAGGGCTGTAGCTTGAAAACTGTTGTATCGATTTCGAACAGCATTGCAGGTTTCGAAAGCTTATTTTTTTCAGAGGTTCCATGACACTTTTAGAGTGGGGGAAAACGTTTCACAATCCATTAAACCGTAAACTTCATCGGTTCAACATAGTGCCCATAGTGTCATGTCAAGTCACAAGATTTTGCTAACTTTGTTGTTCAGTAGTGTATCTGCTGCCAAAGGACACTTATCGAAAAACTTGCCAATACGTCTGGAGATATTGATATTAACTTACTAATCACCTATACGGAAATCCGAAGAAAAAAAATTGCCAATATGGCAGACATCCAAATTTTTTGTACTTTTGCATCAGTCTATTATTCACCCTGTATATAACTTGAAAAATGCATTCCTTAAAAAGATTTATTTCTCCCTCATGAAATACCTACAACATGGGCTTTCGAATACCAAAAACCTCAATAAAAAAAAAAAAATTAAAAAGTTTTTACAAATTAAATATGGTGTTAAAAATTGTAGATTGTAGATTTGTAGATTTCGGGGGAGTCGTTTCGGCTTTTCAGCCGCTCAGCACTGCTACCTTTGCAGATATTTTGTGCGTGACTCTACATATTAATTTGTCTCCAGGAAGCGTAGACTTCTGCCGAAGGAAGCTATTTTCCTGGGTGTCAGTTGGCCCACTTCTTCTGGTGACAGTGTTGCTGTGTGCTAAAAATTGCTTGTCCCGTTTTTTTTTTTTTTTGGCGAGCAGTTTAGATCTAGTTTTGATTTTCTTGGCTTTAAATTAATTACAGTTCGTATTGATTTAAAACTAATTTCATTACAATGAGGTAGACAAAATATCTTCTCTATATAGATATGGAGAAGCGCTTCTCCAGGAGTTGAGGAATACTTGTTAAAAAAAAAAATTCCGCATTAAGTCTCATTCAATTTTTAACAAAACCATTGAAAATATAACTGTTATTTTCTATTCTTATTTTATAAGCAGCTTAAAATAGGCCTACCCATTTGCTTTTGCCAACTGTGTTAATAATTTAAATAAATAAACACGCCATTCAATGGCAAATACTATTAAAATTATTTTTAACAATTATTATTTTTCTCCATAATAATTTTTAATATTGAAAATTCACGTAAACTTAATATGTTTGTTTTTGGCATTGACACATAAAAGTCACCGAACCATTTGCTCTATCCAAATCAAAAAATAATTCATCTAAAATATGATAGAGTAGTAGACCTTTAAGTAGATTATTTCAGATCACTCAAAGATACAACATAAATTAATCATCAGATAGTCACTTCAACGTCGTCAACACTCATGGATTTCCAAGTTGTACGAGATGTTTCTAATTACAATCAACCAATAGTAAATCAAAAAAAATCCCAGAAAAACTCCGATACCTATACTGTGAAATTTACTTCTTTGTTTTCTGTATTCAAGCTAATAGTTGTTGGCCAATTAGTAATACAAGAAAGGGAGATAATTAATAACAATTGGACAGAATCCAATCGTTGATGATAGCGAAACAATTGTTGTAAATTGTTCAAGTAGGTCTAAACAATAAACATGGCCTAAGAATCAGAAAGCTTTCTGAGAACACTCAAATTTTCTGGCCAAATTACTCTCCTAGGAGAAGAAGCCAGAAGACGAAGAAGATAAGATTGAAGTAATGACAGGAAGCTACAGTAATTTTAACCTGCTTTTTGCAGTCTTTGAAAATGTGTTCTGCTTTTTTTCCAGTTTTCATTTTGATACAAACTATTTGATCAATGGTTTAGGTAATTGTGGTTACAATGAACATTAGGGTTATTTTTGACATTTTTATGGAGAGATTGCTCTCCATATCTGCGCGGTATTCTATTACTTTTTAAATTTTTGACTTTTTTAATGAAACTTTGATAGCATGTAGTTCTCACCTACCTATATCAAAAATTCAGAAAATCTGAAAAATGAAAAAATTACTGAGTACGTGTTCCGGTATACGATTCGCATTTTAACCTACTTGAGATTATCGGAGTTTGGATAAGCCTCGATGGATAAGCCTATTATATGTACAGTGCCCGCGGAAAAGTTTGCACCATATGGGAAATTTTTTTATGCTCATCCTTACTTCAAATCGGTTTTTGGCATTAGGTTCTGCATGACTGAAAACCAAAAAAACACCTAAAATTTTTGAGTCGAGACTTGCCTCACACCTGTCAAATGCCATTTGAAAATTTCAAACAAGGAAAAGTGGCATTTTTATAAAAAATATGAAAAAATTTTATAAGAAAATATTGTTCCAAATGATATTTAGAGTCTAATTTGATATTTTTGCTTTGAAAAAAATATATTTCAAAGCATACAATTTTTAAAATAGTCCAGAGGCGTATCAAGATTTTAATAGAAATATTTCTTTTTGATGTTCAAACTCTTAATTAGATTATTAGGATTTGAAAAACCATTAGTCAGATACAAACTGATTATTTTAGAGGAATGGTCGCGAAAGAAATCCTAAAAATATTATTTTTCCGTAGATATTCGAAAAAAAATTAAAAAAAATAAATATTTTTTTTTCAAAGCAAAAATATCAAATTAGACTCTAAATGTCATTTGGAACAATATTTTCTTATAATAAAATTTTTTCATATTTTTCATAAAAATGCCACTTTTCCTTGTTTGAAATTTTCAAATGGCATTTGACAGGTGTGAGGTAAGTCCCGAGTCAAAAATTTTAGGTGTTTTTTTGGTTTTCAGTCATGCAGAACCTAATGTCAAAAACCGATTTGAAGTAAGAATGAGCATAAACAAATTTCCCATATGGTGCAGACTTTTCCGCGGGCACTGTATATTTATAGCTTCAATTAGCTACGGATTAAATTGTGTTGAAAGTAGGTACAGTAGGTATCGGCACTTAGGGTAACTGAATTCTCGAATTTCAGATTCTGTAATGGATGAACTTGAAATTTTGTTTTCATGTCTACTGTGAAAGCTGGCATTGTCGAACACAGTTTTCGATTTCTTTTATAAAAGACAATCTTCGTTGAAAGCTTTAAAAGTTTGGCGCTGATATCATGAAGAATGGAGATAATCTACTTGAATCCTAAATATATTTTTAGCTGATAACAATAAAATATTACTGTGGTCATTTTTTCACTTGTTTGGTGCAGTGGTAGTACCTTCGTTTTTGCGATAGACCCTTGACAAATTAGATTTACGACTTTAGTTTACGACTGCTTCCTGCGACTAAGGTTGTAGGGTATATTTTTGAACGGATTTTCCTATCCGTCTTTTTTTTGCAAATATACTAAACACAAAGAGTTAGGAAATACAATAGTTGAAACGTATCACGTATCATTGTTACTTATGTTTTTTTGAAGGACTAAAGTAAGAAACACAGAGTCATTTTAATTACTAATTTTCAGGATTGTGATAAAAGCTATAGCCTTGGAGTGACTATACTTAGATTCAATATGTACCATTTAAGTAAGTCAAAGAAATAAATAAAAAATTCTTACACATCATAAAAATAGTAAAAGCTTGTTTTCTTGTTTGAAAATTATTTATAGAACATTGACATCTTACTAGCATATATTTCCTATAAAGAAAACCAATAATTTTCTAAAAATAACTGCTGATCTTTTTATACAATATAATGGAAAAAATATATATGTGCAGAGGATAGATAAAACTGGTTATAAATTTACATTTTCATCTTTGTTTCAGTGTATCCTGAAGCCATCAGTATATGTGACTCCAAAGGAGAACTGGCTCTACCATCGAAGGGCGAGGCCAGTGCTCAGACCGTTACCTTACAAGAGAGTGCTCTGTCCGAGGCTATGTCCCTATGCCGTCTCAAAGTTACTGCTCCAAAATCGCATGTTGTCAACCTGCAATTTTTGGATCCAGTTAACGAAACGAGAAGGACTGAAAATGATACAAAGGATCAGGGCAAAAAACCTTCCTGTGTTATGAGCATTGTAAGTACAGAATCCATAGGTTTTTTTTTTTACAATAAAATTTAGTATTTAGGTAATTTGGATTGTTCAAGTTTCGTTCAGATTTTCGGAGGATTTCGTTTTGAAAACGAATGAGTTATATGCGCGATTTTTCTCTAAAAATTTCATAGTATTCTAATGTTTCTGCTATTTTTATAAAAACGGATTGGGATATTAAACGGATAAGAGCGAATATTATTTATAGATCTGTGTTGAAGGGAGAAAACATTCTGACATTGCTGCAACTGTTTCCGCTATTTGAATATGCGTTTCCGCAAAAACGTGCCGTTAGTTTGTTGTATATCGTGTATCTTTGGGGATATACGTATTATACAGTTGCTTTTTCCAAATAGGGTTTTTCCTTATGTGGTTTTTGTTTATCAAAGCCAAAAAGAAAGTGGATTTTTCTTGCTTCAAAATGATTTTCGGCAAAAAGTGGATGGGGTCGTTGAAAACACCTATTATATAGGCAGATTCCTCTAAACGATTTTTTTTACATTCAGAAAATATATATCAGTTAGATTTTTTTCTTATAATACATAATTATTATTAGTGATGAATAATAGCGTATAAATATTTTAAATGAAATTTAGAAAAGAACATCTAAATACCTACTCAATAATTTTCATCAAGTGCGCTCAAGAAAAGAAATCAACTTGGCTTAATCAAATTTGAAATCCTTAGTCGCAGGCAGGGCCGTATCTAGACCAAAATTTTGGGGGGGGGGGGGGGGGGGGGGGTTAGACAAAGTGGCAAAAAAAATTGTTACACTACATAGTAATAATAAAAAAAAAAGTATTTAATAAGTGTTGTTTGTTTTTAAGTTAAATTTTTTGAATTTTATGGGGGGGGTTTGAACCCCCAAAACTCCCCCCTAGATACGGCCCTGGTCGCAGGCATCGAAGATCAAAGTCTATTAGCGATTCTAGGAAAGGCATACGACTCATCTCATCTTAAAATTCATTACTTCAAGGTCCATTATCACAAAGGCGTAATTCAATAAGTGCAAAATCTGATCAGAATTATTATATTATTTTCGCATTATAATACCGTGGCATAGCAGATAGGTGAAATCAGAATTACGTGACCCGTATAAATCTACATAAGTACGAAGAATAACTTCTCAAAAAGAAATATCGTTGATGAACGATTAGCCACAGACAAGAATAATTATTATGTATCTGAATTTTCTTTGTTATAAGTGTTACAAGTGTATCCAACTATAAAAAAATAATATTAGGTACCTCATATTGCTTTTTAATAAAATTGATGTATGAGTTACCTGCTCCAATTAGGGTCACTAAGAATTATATTATGTATATATATATTTTTTTAAATAAATACATATTTCTAATGAAATGAACGACAAAATACTTTAGGTTGAGGTGCTCGCATATCATCTACCACCTCCCTAAAACTTGCTAAAATCCTATAGAACTTTTTTTGTTTCAGTATTTACCTGACAATACCAAAGCGCCTTTCTGGAAAGGGGATCCATGCTCAGAAGAAAAATTGCCAGATGTTGACTTACTCACATCGGAATTCAAAATACTTTGGACGCCTCCAAATAATGAAACCATACCTGTTCTCCATAATACTTTTCTTCTCACAGCTGTTGGATCAGGTTAGTGGACACATTTTTTTTTTCAATATTATAAGCAGTGGTTGGTTGGTTATAGGGGGATCCAGGCGCTATGGCCTTCCATGCACTGCAGCCTGTTGGCTTATTATGCATCCCAATTTCCTTCTTGCCCAACAAGAGTCCTGTTCCCTGTATCAGGCCTAATAGCCCTTGAACAAGATTTTCAGGCGTTACTTTATCCCCGCTCCGTATTGCTCCGAAGAATCTTTATTTTTTGTGTGATACGGCTACATAGTCCTATATGATGTGGGAAGCTGTTTCGTCTTCCTCTCCGTATAGACTGCATTTAGTTGGCCCATTGAATATCCTCATACTGTGCTGTTGCTTCCTCAAGTGACAGTGTCCTGTCAATAGCCCTATCAGTCGTCTCATCTGTGTGCGCATGAGTCCTATGCACGTCAGTTGTTAATTTCGTTGAAGTGTTTCCTATTAGACAACTCTTGCGTAATTTTGTCCAGGTTCTAACGGGCCAATTTATCCAGTATTGACTCTACCACTTGGATCGATATTCCAAAACTGGGCCTATAAATGGCGTTGCAGCTCTAGCTCTCGAAAGCCCATCTGCTTTTACGTTCGGCGTCATGTAATCCGATGTGATTTCCAATAGTTCGCTGTCTATAACATCTGTCTGTCACTATCGTATGTCCTTATTTGCTCGGCTGTGATTTCCAGACTCTTGCCGTTTTCAATCTGTAGGCCGTGATGCTGGCCTCTCTTTCTTAATGAAGAAATCTAAGGCGTCTAGCCCCATAATTATTTCCATTGCCGCTGTGGGAGTAGGTACTACCCATGTTTCCTGAGATGCACAAGCTAGCCAGTCTTTGTAGACGGTTAAGTCTTATGACCGTTGTTTTTTGCTCAGTATGTTATCATGGGTCTGATAACTGTGCAGTGATGCAGTATAGCCAGTGCATCATCTTTAGTTGCAGGCCCCAGGTAATGCCAAATATGTGCCTGCACCTCTTGCTTTGTTCATAATCTTCTCGATTTGTTGGTTCTATGTCAATTTAGCGTTTAGGAGTAGGCCCAGATGCTTCACTTCATTGAGAGTTTTACTTTACTTTCACCACCAAACTAACCCAAACATCTTCAGGTTGTTATAGGTTCCCGCTAATCGCTGTATAAGTGATGATTGTCATATTTCTGCGGCATCTTGTATTTGTACTTTAATGTACCTACACCACAAATTTGATAAGAATTTGCTCAAATTGAAATTTAATCGTTGGAACGCATGTGCAAATTACCTGATAAGTTCGATAGGTTTATTTTGTTTGTGAATCTTGATCATGCTGTATATTTGGCGTTAATAGGTGTGATGTGCCCCTTAGAATGAAAGACACCTTATTCAATACTTCAGGACATTTTGTTAATAGAGAATCAAGAATTTGTGTTTGTTAATACTTCTAGAAACTAACACAAAACTAAGTAGGTTTGCCATAGGTAACGTATCCCTGACATCATCAGCATCAACCCTAACATCACTCTTTTTCCAACTAAATAGATAAATGACATTTATGAAATAAAATAAATGATTCAAATTTAAGCAACATAATCTGAAAGAGATAAAGATTTTCTTATATCTCGACCTAGAAGATAAATGATTTTCACTATTATCCTTAGGGATATTATTACATACATCTGTAGGATTATTCCTTGGCATATGAGATTTGTTAGAAGTTGACTGAAACGCCAACTCAGATGGCTGAAATGGCGCAGAAACATGTTCTTCATCTGAAGCCTTATTACTATTGAAATCACTCACGATTTCATTCCATTTGTCATTAGAGTTCATAATTTCTTTTTGATTAGATTTACACAACTGTGCACTATCCTTAACATAGACCACTTATCCGCTACAAAAGTCAAGAGGTTTTTCTCTATCCTGTAAATCGTAAAAATATGCATAGGTAACTATTTTGTTGACATTCCAATTTCGACTTCATACCATCATTTTCCTTATTTGGGTGATTTGAGAAATTTGCAGGCGTTTGCAGAAAGGTATTTAATAAATTCACAGTAATTCACTAGGATACTTTTCAAGAGACGAATCTGTGTCTTTACCGAAATATTCTGCTTTTTTTAAAGTAATTTTAAAATGTTTGAACATACCTTTCGGTCAGCCTGTTAGATTTAGAGTTACATGGGCTAGAAGTTATAATATATGTGAAATTCCAAACTCTTGTAAAATGTTTAAATGTACGCTTCATAAATTCTTCTACTTTTGACATGTACTTAATATCACGCATACTACAAGGCAATTTCATTATCGGTTCTATCCAGTAAAGTTTGTGTGGTTTCAATTTCTGCTTTACGGATGCAGTTTGAGGCGACGAATAATGTTTTTACAGGATTCTCTATTCGAATTTAAATAGTATATTGCCAGATGTCGACAAGAGCTCCGGTTCCACATCTGCTAGGAGAGATGTCAAATTTATCTCATTTTCTTCCCTTTGTTGAAATGAATTTTGGATATTGCAAATTTGCATCCTGTCAGATTCAGAATTTTTGGATGGAATATATATGGTGTAGTTTTCTTTTCGCTTGTGGTATAAAATTCTTGTTTCCTTTTTTAAAATGCTCTGTTTGAAGCGTAGCAGGTTGTTTCAAGAACAAAAGGAATCTTAAATTTTCTTTGAACTTATATTCGGTAAAGCTAAGTAGGCATAAGTTTTTGTTTGATGTACCTATTGCATAGTTAACAAAATATAATTTTCAATCTGTGTGACCTTTTTTGAGAGATAGCTTTATTTCGGGAGCAAATGTACTGGCCTACCATTTCTGAATTTGTCGAGCTTGTCTCTAGGATGAAGGTACAGTGGAAATCATTGCAATTGGCACACACTATGTAAATAGCCCTCGTAATGTGTCAAATCTGACACACAGTAATAGCAAAATGCTGCACTAAATAGATTTATTGGTTAGAATTTTGACTTAATACGAGGGATTTTAAAGAGTGTGTGCCAATTGCAATGATTCCGACTGTACTCATTATTATGATGAAAAAAAATCCAATCTTACAAAAATTTCATCTTAAAATAATATCAAATGTTGCTTGGTGGATGCATTTCGGTCTGTGAGCATTTTCAAGAGTCACGAAAAGTAAGTTTTTCGCCATTTTTCACTAAATGGGAGCTTATTCACAAGTAGATTACTGACCACATACCTAGGTCCCTGAAGATGCAGCAATAAATTTGGTAAACGTCCTGGTTATAAAATGTAGCGTGTTATTAGGCCCCTTCCTAAAATCAACGGTTTCTCGTCATTATACCATTAATGGCCATTTGCACCGCTATAACTTAAGGGATATTTAATCCGAGTGAAGCTTTGAATGTGACTCTCGTAGAAACAAAAGTCGCATTCAAAGCTCGACTTAGATTGGATATCCCTTAAGTGATAGTCGTGCAAATGGCCATAAGTATATTATATTTATCAACACAAGCATTTATGCATTAAATATTTACGTATATATTTATATTTTTGTATTGCTCTACTAAATCAGCGCCTAATTAGATGTAATTTCCAGTCAATAATCGAATAATATGTTTACGATTTATAACTCATCACATCACTTTCGAAATTCTGCGAATGTTTTTTATTAACAATAATAATATTCATTATTATCAAAAATTTTTACTAGTAGGTATTTGACTTTTTTATTAAATCAACAGAAGACGTTTGGTTAAGACTACTAGATATACAGGGCGACCCAATTAATATAATATGGGTATTTTCCAAACGGTAAAAGATTCAGCATGGCTCAATACTTAGAAATAAGTTGAGCAATCAAATACCTATATTGCCTCGGAATTTTCAAAAACTCTCCTATTTATTTCGGAGATATATACAGAACTAAACAAATTATAAAACCGTTTTTATTTTTACTGGGCCTATTGATAAAGATGTTTCAAAATAAGATAATTTGATTAAGGCAATCCCGCCTATCTGGGCGAGAATGTAATATGATTTGCCAATAATGCAATATATCTATTAGATAGTGTATTCAAAAATAGATATTATATTTGGTTATTTTATTAGGTTCATTCTGCAAAGACCCGTTCCAGCACACATGTATGCGTATCGGTAACATTCCAATGCTGTGCATATCGGATCACCTGGTATGTGACGGTTACCCGAACTGCCCAAAAAGCTCTACAAACAACGATGAAGATCCCAGACTATGTAAAACTGCCAAAAACGCTTGGGAAAAATTCGTCGTAGAATTGGTGAAAAAATATAGACCACAATCCGACGGTGAGGGCCAGTATGCGTTAAAACCAAACTTTAATTCTAGTGATGAGTGGTTTGAGTGGCAGCTAACTAAGAAAAATGGTAAGTCTGTATAAATATTTATCGGACAAGAAATAGGTGAAGCCTAACTTCAAAACACCCAACCCACCGCAATCTTAAATTTTTGATTTCAATTATACCAATTAAGTTGCCCTTGTACCAATTCATGTAATACACTTTTTCACCTGTTTTTTTCTTCGAATTAAGCATGTTATTAGGCAAAAAATAAATTACATATTGTATTGAATACCGTGACCACATCAGGCAAAAAAAAGTAACACAGCTATATGTTATATTATGTATATTAATGTTATATAGTCGCGGATCGAGACGATAATAATTGCAATTCTAGTAAAATGGCAGCGTAAGTTAACTTGAATTTCAATATTACCTGGTACAATTTTTGACGCGCATTTCTCGAAAATGTCCAAGGGTTTTCCAGGCAACTAATTGATTGTTTTTTGGTTAATTTTAATATAAAAAAAAAATTGAACATTGAGACCTACGGAGTGATGGAAAAAAATCTCGTTTAATTTTAGTAGAAAAAGTTATTATACAATGAAGTGAAATTTATTTTGAAATATCTCCTCAAATAAACTCAGAAAAAAATTAAATCGATTTTGCAAAATTTAAGTTTTTTCCGGATGTCTCCTAAAATGGAATTTTTCAAATGTCAAAGTACCATTTTATTGAGCGTTAAATTGCGCAACTTTTTCCTAATCTAACCAATTTTGTAACTCCAACCGTTCTCCAGATCCTAATGCTCTGCCATTCTTATCCTGGACACACTGTATAATTAAATACCTAAATATTTTCTTTGTTTCAGCAACAAAACCACCAGTACTCAATGAAACCCACAGTGCTACTGAGTCCATCTCCGCAATGCTTAACAAATACGGACCTTGGGGCTATCTAATGATGGGTCTCCTCATTTGTGGCACAGTACTTTTCTTCTGCGGCCTTTGGGAGTGTTGTTGCAAAAGACCAAAGCCCCGAGTTGATGCGCCATGTCGGGACAGCCCTAACACAGTCATGGTGATGGACTGTGGACACGCAGTCACTAACCCAATGCCACCTCAATATGATGAGTTGGATTTACCGCCATCTTATACTACGTTGTTTCCCGCAGATGAAGGGAGATATACATCAGTATCAGAGGACACACAAGAGCCAGTGGCGTCAAGCTCGAGTGATGAAATTGAAAAACCTGAAGATGTAAACCAAAGTTTAAATGAGGAGAATATTGAAACACGCGTGGCACAGGAGACAGTTTAAAATGAGAATGATAGTACTAGCCGAGAGCGAACATTAGAAAACGATGATAATGATAATTATTCTGATTCAGGGTAGAATAACATTATAATCGTTAATTTTGTTTGTTTTTTTTTTGTGTGATATTACGACTGATCTATTTAGAGCTTATGGCCATCACGCGTGTTATAATATTTATAATACTTATTATAGGTATGTACCTAGCGTTTTTTTTTTAAGTGTTTTTATTTATCTGACGTGTGATTTTTGCAATTAAAAATATGTTTCGATTTGAGTTTTTTTTTTTTTATTTGTGTAGATTTGGTAGATTGTATCCAGAATCCAAGCAAAAGTTGAATATTGGCAAGTGTCATTATTTTCTCTTCCATATACGTTAATTGAAAACATATTTAGGTAATACAGATCTGGATAATTAGAATTTCTTCAGAGAATAATATCGCAGTGAAAATGAGAAACTGTTACTTTCAACTACTTAATCCATCCACGAGCAACCTGAATGAGACACAATCAAAGGCCTTACTGAGACCACAAAATAAAGGCCCATTGTAATCTCCACTTTCATAACCTATACATTTATCAGTTCAAAAGCTTATTTTTATGGTTATCGTAGTTGAGTTAGAAGATTTAAAACCTAAATCACTAGTTTTTTGTCTCAAAATAACCATCTACTCCCTTATTCAAACAATTTCAAAAACGTTGGAGAAGATGTATTCATCTTGGCCTGTAGTTTTTATTGATGTCAATATGTCAATAAGTCCTTTTAGGGAAAGTTGAAATGATGAGACACAAGGATCGGTTTTGGGACCGCTCCTCTACTCCCTGTTTGTCTTGAACTTGAGTGTACTGGGCATAAATGCAAGGTACTACACCTTCGCTAACGATAATAAATTAATGATAATTCCTGAACAGCTTGATATACTTACTGGTCAACAATTCACTGGAATATTATAAGTGGCTTTTAACTCAGAATCTTAAAATTAATTTGGAGTCAGCCAAGTATTTAGGCATTATTCTGGAGGAAAACCTGAATTGGAGTACTCATAATATAAATCATATACAATATATGAAAAATAAAATTATTCCTCCAATTGGTGCTCTTCTTAGGTGCAGAGACTTTTTAACAAATAATACCAAACATAAAATTTACAATGCTTATATTCTTGCAGAACTTAGATATCTCTTACCTATATTGGGAACCTGTCGTAAAATTAATTTTAGCAAAATACAACTACTCTAGAATAGGGCATCGAAATCGCTCTTCAAGTTGGATAATAATCGGACGCACACTGAAGACCTATACAATATATGCTGCAAATTTTACCCGTCTCTCAGAAACTAGAAACTCAAGATAGAAAAATCTAAGTTAATATTCAAAATAACTAAAAACTTGTAGAAAACAAATACTAATATTGTTCATGTTAACAAGGTTCATTCATACGACACAAGAACAATCAATAATATCCATCTAGGTAATGCAAGAGCAGACAAAGCCCTCGATAATCCAATAAGTGAAGCATCAAAGATTTTAATACTCTTTCACAAACGATAAAAAACCAAGTAACTTTTAAGCCATTCAAGAAAAAAATCAATATTCATTAGGTACAGCTGCACTATGTTGCCTTTTAATTACTAAATGTGTGCCTCCGATACCAATACCTACTTAAAGTATTATTTGGGAGTTGTTTTGGTAATCGAATATAATAATAGTTAAAGAACGAATGTAAGAAATAGAAAAGAAACTTGAACTTATATATTCACTCTTATACTTGAATAAATCATTTATTATTTAAAAAAAGATCTCCCATTTGTGTATGGGCATAGTAGGTACCTAATTTGGCTATTTTCAGTGCGGATGGTAAGATTATGAGTCTCTAATGCACAAGTTCAGGGGCGGATGGGACCACCGGGACACCGGGCAAATGCCCGGTGGGCCGGACACCAAAATTGGGCCGCCGTCTGCCACCTTGATAAAAAAAAACTTTTTTATAAGTTCTTGTGAACCTTACACCAAAAGTTTCAGCTCAATAATATTATCTTCTGAATTGTTATATCGTCAAGAACGGGGACTACCTAGTTCCTTTACTTTTGTTGCCCCAAATGCCCCAGCCCTACTTTTTAATCCTACCGTACCGCTCAGACCATCATTGGCTGGCCATACGCAGCCCTATTCATCTTAACAAAACTATACAATTGTGAAAACTATGGCCGGGGCGTGATTGCCCACATAACAGTAAAAGAACATTCATATTCTCAGAATATTCCCTCAAAGTGCTTTTTGGAATGTTCTTTTAGGAATGTCTAATGAATATTCTAAGTTTGTTTCGATTGAAATATTCATTTTTGCGCGTTCTATTTATGTACTCGGAATGTTGCTTCTATTTTATATAACAATCTTTGAATATTGTCATACGAACATTATTATAATGTATCCTAAAAAATGTTCTTTTGGCTAATATTTCTATCAAGTATTAAGAATATTCCTACCAAGTTGTGCTGAGAAGTTTATGTAGGTAGGTAACCATGATAAGAATATTTTCATATTGTTCACCTAATTATCTAAAGTACCGACTCAAAAATCTTAATTTAACAATTAAACAATAATGCTCTATCTAGAATCTACTAAGAATATTATAGGTATATTCTTTTTCTTTTGCTTTGTAGGACTTCCAAGAGAGAGAGCCACGCGCTATTAAAGATCTACATCTTGCCTCGCGTTTGAATCACCTTGGAACCTGTTTCTCTCAGTTGGCGTGTTTACCGCGACGAGAGCTAATAAGCTCGAAACCGGAGCTTTGGTTAAATACTTGTGTTTTCCAGAGAAGTTTTCCAACAACTCTTTCACTGCCTTTAATATAAAAGGGCTGAAAGGAGCATCATTTGGAAGCGAAAATTAACATTCCAAGTATATCCTTAGAATCAACCAAGAATGTTATGTCTAGGATGCATATTAAGAATGACATATGTAGATATATTCTAAGAATATTTCAAGCATATTGGTATAATATTCTTTTGAGAACATAACTATAACGTCATAGAAACATTCTTTGAATGTGAGAATATACATTTCGAGCATATTTTTAGAATCAAACAGGAATATTCTTTTCAGGATGTACTGAGAATCTCATAGGTATATTCTAGGAATATCCTAATGGATTTCCCAGGAAGTTCTTGGGAATTGCAAACAGTATTTCTACAATCTTTTCTCAGAACATTCTCAGGACATTCGCAATGGTTTTGGCGAACATTCTAGGCACATTCCTCCTAAAAAAAGGACATTCTTAATACATTCTAAGGATGCAATTTTGTTATGTGGGTGCTGTTCGATTTTATTTTTGTGTTATTGCCATTGGACTCATTTAGTATATTCTGTTATTATCCCCTATCACTAGTAACTTCTCCTTCGGCGTGCAAATGTTTTTGAAAAATGAGAAAGATTAATAGGGCATTCCAGGAACATGTGGTCCAGGTTTTCAATCCGGCCATACTCACAGTACGGATTCTTTTTTACCCCTATCCTGCAAAGATGCTGTCCTATCGAACAGTGCCCTGTACGCATCCTAGTGATGGACGTGATATGCCGTCTATGTGTGTATTGAAGATCTTTGAATCATGTTTTCATTGGGAACTCAATTTTCACCTGCCTGGACCAATTCTCCTTTTTATTGAGTGACTTATCTTCCAAGAGACTGCAAGTTCGCAATTTATTTTTGCTTTGATCAGAGGAAGGATATGAGATAGTTCCAGAGGGAGCGTCCTTGGAACATTTAGAATTCTTCCTATGTTGGCAAGCTTTGTCAGCGCATTCATTGCCAGCCAGGCCAGCATGGCCCGGAATCCATGCTAACTTAATGTTGTTTGCAAAATTAGCTTCTATAATAAGTATTTTGGTTTTATTCTATTCCTATTCCTTTCTATCTTCTATTTCACTGCTGTCAGGATTGATGTAAGTTCTTTTCAACTTGTCTATTGCAATTTTTGAATCTGTCAGAATCGGTGCATTTTGTATGTTTTTTGAAGTGAATACTTCTTTGGCCGCAGAGAGTGATTTTTCAAGGTCGCGTCACGACACGATTTATAAAATTTTCGTCTCGCAAGTGAGATGAAGCATATGATGAATATGAGGGAGAGAGAGAGAGAAAGAGATCGATAAATAAGTATTCACTTCTATCACGTGTACTGTGCTGCACGCGACTTTTTTTGGAGAGCATAGCACACTCCCACATTTATGGCTACCATCTCCGCTGTGCAGATATCCATTTCGTCCTGCAATCTTGCAGATAAGTTATATTTTTTGCCGGGGCAGTGAATACCAAATCCAGTTTTTCCATCCTTCCTAGAGCCATCCGTATAGATTTGTGTGTATGAGCAGTCGAGAGAGCCGATACTTTCCCTCAATCTATTGATAGTATTGGTTCCATGTTTTCCCAAATGGAGTTCTATGACCGGCAAACAGCTTAACTGGACTTCCCTTTCCATTTCGAAACATGGCAAGGTAGTTCTCCGTTTCATCCTTCTTCCATATGGCAGGAAGTAGTAATTTCCATTGTACATTTTGTGATATATTTTTTTTTTAAATGATTATAAGTGGGTGATTTTCGAAACTTTAGATTTTGGATATAAGTATTTGACAGCGAGCCATCTTCTTCTGTATTCCAGATACATCATTCCTGCCTCCGCCATTAGTGCATTTACGGGAGTAGACCTCATGCATCCCAGGATGACTCTGAGTCCTGCATTGAAGACACTTGATTTTCTGTTGGTTTTTAGTTTAGACGGTTGTCCAGATGTATACCTAGATACTTAACGATTGTTTGGAGGGGGATCATGTTACTATCGATTTTGATGGGTTGAAGTTCGTTCCTTTTGTTCCCTTTAGCAAAGTGAACCACCTCGCATGTATCATAGGACAGTCTCAGACAGCTTTCCCTCAACCATTTTCCAAATACATTCAGGGAGAAATTTATACTATTTGCCATCTATTTCCCCTTAAGAATATTGCAAAGTCATCTGCATATCTCATAATTTGGGTTTCCTCTGACACTGATTCATTTAATTCCTGTAGTATATATTGAACAAGGTTGTACTTAGAGGCGAGCCCTGCGGAAGACCCGAGTTCGCCACTTTAGGGCCAATCAGCTGTTCTTTTGTGTTTCTAATGTAAATTTTTCTATTTCTTAAGATTTCATGTATTAGATTGCAGACTTCTGTGGAGATGTTGAGCCTGGTCATTTTTGTATATAACTTCTGCAGATTGACATTGTC